CGCATTAGAACTTTCTTTTTAAGTCACTTAACGCATGTGAGTTTATTAATATTTAATGCTGTTAAATGGGTTAAAACATAGCTAATGCGTGCAAAGGAAATTTTTGGTATCAAAAAAATCCTCTGGGCTGTATGTTCATATTTATCATTGTTCTCGTTTTTTCTTCTTTTTATAATACATATAAATTAAACCCCAAAAATGGGATGGTACATTTTTGAAAACTTTTTTGCTTTCATGCCAGATTATGCTAGAGTAAGAGAGCTGAAGTTAACGCTTGAAGAAATGCGTTTTAGAGGGAAATAGCTAGTGGTCCGTGTTAAGGTCCCAAACTGGAACATTTGCAGAATATAGAAGTTGTTGTACAGAAGTTTTAGAGGTGGACGCTTTAGGCTTTAATCCCCGCTGCTTCGTAGCAGAACATGAACATAGACGACATATCTTTGTTACTATATATGAAAATCTTTTTTTCGTAAATCGAAGATTGAGAAACATTTAGAGATCTGTATTAGATGGACTTGGGGCATGGACAAACTTCGGTTCTAGTGGGTTGCCCACGGACATGGGCAGGTAAAAAAAAGTTTAACATTCTTTTCTGAACACTTTATAATTGCAATATTATCTATTGCAGGTTTGAAGTATAAGAAATTTCATCTTAGGCATGAAGATAGAACGGAAAAGTAGTTTTTTCGAAGGAAGCTACGTAACCCATGAACACACGGACAAGGAGGTCGATATGTCTGTCGACATGGATGGACTTGGACAGAAAAAAGTTGTCCATGCACATCTATGAAAAAATTTGTAAAGCGTAAGCACAGTCTCGTTTTTAAGGCTAATTACAGAAATTTTTCATATGAACTAGAAAATTGAAAAAAATTAATTTTTTTATAGGTGGTACAAAATCACAGGTGAAGCTTTATGTCTCAAATCTTTAGGTGGGGATAGACCGCGCTGAACGCCACTGGCTTTCTACAGCTCCTGTTATAAAGACCATGAGCTTAAATAATAACTTAAAAGTATTATAAGTAAATCATTCTTGTAAAGGTGACAAACTATTTTTTTTCTGATATCTACCGACATAACATTCTTCTATTAGTTTGTTTACACGTATTTTCTTTTATTACCATTCTAACTCAGAAAAGAGCTGGGCAAGAAACGCTTAAATTAAGAGTCGTATTTTCAAGTCTTAAAACGAGTTAAAAGTTTTTTTAATGACAGATTCAAAAGGATCATTTCATGAATGTAATTTTAAAAGGTTGAAGTTAGATTTTAAAAGGTTGAAGTTAGATTTTAAAAGGTTGAAGTTAGATTTCACAGCCGACGTTTAAGGGTATTTCTTCCTCCATTTTTGACTCTTCGCAAAATCGCTGCAAAAAATAAATCAAAAGTGATGAAGAGTTCGTATTTTCAGGACAGATGAAAAAGTCTCATTTTTAAGAACCTTATAAGCCAGCATGGAAGGGCTATTTTCAAAAAAGAAAAAAGTCACCTCTGGGACAAGGTCTGAAGTACCTCAGGTAAAAATGTGAGCTCGATCAAATGAATTTTCGAGTAGTCGTAATGGATGTCGATGAAAAATTGAGTTTTCTCGAAATTCCGGGAAGGATGATTAATAAAGAGTTGAAAGAAAAAGAAAAGCGTCATAAGACTTTTTCATCTCTCCTGAAAATACGAACTCTTTACCACTTTTGATTTAGTTTTTGCAGCGATTTTGCGAAGAGTCAAAAATGGAGGGAGGGATGCTCTTAATGAAAGTATGTCTCAGCACTTGAGAGAAATGATTGAGTGAAGTTACACAGTCTTAAAGTAAAGGTTCGCAAAGCTAATTCCAATTCACTACTTTATATTGAATTTTGCCTTTAATATTCTGATGAAAATTGTTTACTAATATTGTTAACTTTAGCCTGTTATCATGCTTTTGCAAATTTAAGGATGTGGGCTGTCCTCTATAACATATTTATATATATATATACATACATATATATGCATTTTGAATTTTTCTTATTTATGCCACTCTGATATTACTAGGTAGTGGAACATTTCGTAAAGATTATAGCGTACATAATGAAGAAAAACGCCTGATACTGGACGGAGATGATAGTGTTGATGAGGATTTTCAGTAGAAAATAACCCTACTCTCAACATTGTGCCGATATTTTAAATGTTTAAAGAACACAATCGTGACAAGAGTTTCGTGAACTTTTGAGATACGTCTTCAAATTTGCAGAAAATGTCACGAAAACACTAGTCACAATTACATGGAATCACCTAATCAGAAAAGGTTGAGACTGTCAAATTATCTCCTCAGGAACTTTTTAATTGACCAGCATGTATACCTTCGTTGACTACAGCATCTCTTACCAAAATTTTTTCATTAAAAGAGTTTTATTCTGATGGGATCTTTGAATTTCCTGACAGCATCCTAGATCCATCCTGGTCGAATCCTACAAACATTTCAGTTATGATCTTAGAATCGTAACAAATTCCTATAAAATTCTAATGAAATCAGGAATACTCAAAAGTCCTAGGATTCTGTTAGGATTCAGTGCAAACATACGCGAATCCTAGTAGGATCCCAACATTTAAGATCCTGCTGGAAATTTATTAGGATTCTAGTCGACAATAGATAGAAAGTGGGTAGGATTTTATTTGGATAATAGTAAAATATGAAGACATCCACAGACTCCTACAGGCACCCACAGACACCTACAGGCACCCACAGACACCTACAGGCACCTACAGACAGCTGCACAGACAGCACACAAACATCTACGGACAACCACAAAAAGCTACAGACAGGTGCACGGACAGCACACAGACAACCCGAAGTACCTACACAGACATCCACTTCTACGTCTGCAGAAGTGAATGTCTGTGAATGTCTGTGGATGTCTGTAGCTGTCTGTGTGCTGTTTGTAGATGTCTGCGTGGTGTCTGTAGGTGTCTGTGTGCTGTCTGTGGGTGTCTTCATGTTTTACTATTACCCATTTTGTTTAGGGCACTAGAGTTCTCGTCAGAAACGTTAAGTCACTGAAAATGGCGAAGTTTTATAGTATAGTTTATTCAATGTCGATTATAAATAGGCATAGACTCTTGCGTATACAATATACTCATACAGCAATAAGTAGGTCAGATAGGCATCTTAATGATTTTGTTATCTTATTTTGTTTAGTTTGATCTATATGGTTGATTGATTCGTTTCGAGGAATAATAATTAAATATGGCTGCTTGGAATAAAAACAGTCGTGGTGATCTGGAAAATGAATTATTCGATGGATATGTTACTGACGCTGTGAGTGACGATGAAGAAGACAAAGAATGGCAGAGTGAAAATATAAATCAAATATTTAATACATGCGATTTCGATCGATGCGGTTATTTAGACAAGGACAAATTACAACGTATTTGTCCACATCTAAATTCGAATGAAATAGATCTCATATTCTCCAATTTAGATACAAATAAAGATAATAAAATTAGTCTGTCGGAATTTTCTCGTGGTTTTAAAGCACTTTTAAGCGAATATGTCAGTAATGAATTCTCGGCAAAAACATCATCTTTAAATCATAAATATTCTTCATCATTACCGTCCATGTCTGTGACGAACGAATATTCACGTTTATTTTCAAATGATAAACAAGATGTACATTCTCAAGTCAATGAAGTCTTGGATGATTTGGCGTGGTAAGTATTAGATAGGTATGTACCGGTGTCAGCCGACACCGAAGAAACCGATGTTTGGTTTAAACCGACATTGAAAAAACTATTTTAAACTACTTTTTCGTCAGAAAGTTAACAAAATTTTATGATGTACAAAATAAAAAATATTGTTTAGTAGAAAAAGTTTCTTTCCATGTAGGAGAGACTTCACGTTCAAGCAGAAAATATTTTTATTTAAACAGAAAAAACTTCGCACAAGGTGATGTTTTCGATCAAATTTACGGTACGTAATATAACGTAATTTTGTTTTCTTTTATCTTATTATGTGTAATTTACTCGGAGTGGGATGTATAGTAGTTATCACCTTGTGATGTAATATTAATGAAGAGGCCGATCGTCTGTATAATAAGAAAGAAAAATATAAAATAAACAAGATAAATGATCGTAAGATAAGAGAATTCGTAGTCATAATGTGTTTTCTTTTTTTTGTGTTTTCGTTCTGTTGTACAGGTTTTAATTCACCTGTGAAAAAAGAGTGGTTGGACAACGCGTGGCTATATTCACTATATAATATTTTGATATATCCACCGTTAGGCTTAATGATTTGTTTCTGAGTCGAAGTGAAATAAAAAAGTTTTAATTTTCTTTTCTCATCCTTATTTCGTACTTAAACAGCCAAATTCTTTTCTCTCTCATATATCAGTGGAAATATATGAAGCTTTGAAGAAATTAACATTCTATTTGACAATATAAATTTTTTTGATACAGTAACAAAAAATACAAGTACACAGAAAAAAAAGAAAACAATTTGTTTTTCATACATTTCTCGTATGACACATGTAAGAAAGTAGTTAAAATAGCAATAATCATTAGTGTAAAGTAATTATCTACAGAAATAAGACGTATACTCATTATTGACATGGATGGAATGGAAAATCCCATATTCTCAAAGTAAGTGCGACACATTTTAGCGTTTTAGTTAGTTATATTGGATATCGAATACTTGATTCATGACCATTTCTATAAACTATGGGATTTATCTCAAAAAGAACATCTTTGATCTGCAATATGTCTTTTCAAACGGTTTTAGTTTGTGGTCAGGCATGCACCGGTAAGACTGGCATTATCAATTTCTGACGAAAAAATCAGCATCAAATCCAATATTTAACAAACATTTTCAAAACAAAAGTAGTCAGGGGAAAATTTTCTTCTTCGTTCTTCATAGGTGGCTTTTTCAAAAAAATTCTTTGTCTAAAAAAATCTCATTGTTTTCACCAATTAGGCTCTCGGAAGGTTTTAAGCTGTATTCTGTTGGTTACATCTGTTTTACGCTAAAATGAAAATTTTTAGAAAATTTGTACGCAATTTGAAAGGACGAAAATTTTCGACTGACTAGTTTTATTTAGAAAATGCTTGTCAAATATGTTAATCAATGCAGTTCTTAAATTTGCTATGCTTAAATTACGACTGTAGTGTTAGTTTTCAATATATTCGACCTTGAAATATTTATCAGTAATAGTTTAAATCCCACAGACTTCTGAAATATAAGTGAGCATGATTGAGAATAAAGATTTAAATTTGATGATAACTGGGATATTTAAAGAAAGGTGAACGGTTTGTACAGTACAACTCGTACGTAGTAGTATTGAAAATAACTATGCCATTCGATAGGGTTTTAAAAAGTTGACACTAATCCACTAATTTACATACAATTTTCTGTTTGTCATCATATCAAATAGATGCATTTTAATCTAGGAGGATTCTTTTTATTTTTCATAATTTTTACGATGTGTAGTGTACTTTATTTTGAATGTTACACACGAAGAAAAGTATTTTGCCTGGGTGTTATCGTTAATTCAACGAATACTCATTTCTATTATGAGATTTGACAGCGTTTTTGTTGGTGGTGAACGATGAAAGATTTATAGAATTATAAAAATCAGCGAAACATACTTAATATTAAAAAATGTATTATAATGTTACTTGTCTTAGGAGAAGTAAAACAAATATGTTTTTTATGATCTTTTTTTATATAATAATTTATCGGTAAAGTGTCTCTATAGGAAGTTTACAATTTTTTTATTCTGACATTTTTTTGCAAAGTTTCGCAAATGAAGAAATTAATTTCTTCATATTATTCGTTGTCTTCGTCATTACATGGGAAAATATTTACATATATATATATTTATATATATACAAATGTTTTAAACAAGCCACCTTGATTCTGTCCTGTAGTGACGATAATTTGAGTCGAAACATATTGTATCATTATGACACACCTATTCTTGCCTTTGTTTTGAGACTATTGACGTACAAAACGAAAATAAATATCCTATTTTAAATTATTTATGGCACATATGTGTTGATTTTAAGATGGAAGCGTAACCACCCGCTTTTGTTTTTGTTTTTTTGTTAATATATACATAGAAAACATGACAAATTTAAATTTACAATTTTCTCTATGGTTATAAATACATTTTAAAATTATAAACATAGAAACGACGAACAAAATGCAAACACATATACATTTATTTATTTATCAATATATGTACAAAATGCAATCAAGTGGAATAAATATAGCTTACATTCCTTCTCACATTTAATATATTTGGTGATGGTGGTTCGGAAATAATGTAAATATTATTCTATAAGTTTTTTGATAAATGTAATAAAAAATAAAAAAACATACAGTCTATAAAACCAATCTGTGCTATTAGAGACCCATTAAAAAAGAAGAATGTGGGTGCAAAGAAGAAGTAAAACGAAATTTTATTATGAAAATAGAGATGTCACAGAGATATTTACTGCAAAAGAAAATGAAAGAGGAGAAAGAGAGAGAATTTAGTTATTGTATTTTGTTTTTGAAAGTCGAATAACATATATGGATGTGGATGGTAACTTTGGACGATTTAATAAACGCTTATTTAAGACAACAAAATTTGTCAATGTGAACGAGAATAATTTTGTTTCGAAAAGTTACTTCGATTACATTCTAAGAACTGGGTAACAGTTCGTATTCAATACATGTGATTCGTCTCCGAAATAGATTGTCACGGTTGACTATGTCTAGACCACAAATAGCGGGAGATGTGTGAATTGCACATCACCCGAATAACAGAAAAAGTTGCAATTTTTTTTCATTTTAACTTGACACAACTTTCTTTTTATGTATTTCACACTATCGAGGAGAGAAACCCTGTTTCACGCACACAACACTAGTTTCATTCCAGTACTCTTCTTTGAAAAACCGGAGCACGAAGAATATATAACAGATTTTAACAAGGGAGAAAAGGCGGCTCCGGGAGCTTTTCGGAGCTCTTGAAATGCTTTCCGAAGCTTGAGATACTCAGCATCCGATGCTGAGCGATGCTAACGAGGAAATTAATCCAAGTGATACCTTCCGATTTCGTTCGTTCATACGTCGATCGATAGAGGGTATCGAGCTAGTGGAAAGCCTAAAAGGATTTTTCTCCTCGACTGAAATGTTTATTGTCAGTTCAAAGCCACAGAAATAAGAAATTAATTTAGGGCTTTTCTTGTAGATTCTATAACTTTGTAAAGAAGGGTCATGTAGCGGTGGGAGATGTCTAATTTTAATCAGAAATTTGCGGACTACAATTATGCCTTATTAAGAAAGGTGTTGGTTATTTTTAGAGTTTCTGAAAAACTGGTTTTCCAGAAAACCGGGTCTTCAAGAGTCATGGGGGAAAATCCTTTTAGGCTTTTTACTTGCTCGATACCCTCTATCGATTGATGTATGAACGAACGAAATCGGAAGGTATAAGATATCACTTGGATAGGCTTCCTCATAAGAAAGAAAAAAGTCGCCTTTTCCCCCTTGGATTTTAGCTGCTAACGTAGTAAATGTTTGATCTTCACTTTATAGAACACTCCTCAGTCATACATCGAATGCCAGATCAGTGGGAGAATGATAGCCATGAACGTCCTTTCTGAGATGGATCCGAAACTTTAGTCTCAAGCAGTCTCGATATAAAAGCGCTAATGTCGACAGAGGGAAGTTACCGGGGAGTGGTCACCTCCCTGATTTTAGCAAAGTTCTTTTTGCCATCGTCGCATAAAATTTTTGATACGTCTTATAGCATGTAGAAGCTGAATTTTTATTTAGTAATCCACTCGCGAGAAATGTTTTTGGGCAGGACCATCCTCCTGCTCTAAGATGCTAGCTACGCCCCTGGGTATCGAAATTTTTCGAGACTTTTTCGAGACTCGAGACGTCGCGAGACTATTTTTTTGTTCTGTATAGAAGATTTCTCTGGCGAATATGTCATGGACGAAAGAGATTTTTTTGAAGTAAATATTTTGTATGGTAACTTTTTTGACACTTTTAATCACTAAAAGTGAAAATTTTATGTAGCCTATAAAGTTAGCTAACGAAGCGTTGTTTATTTTAATTTCTCCAGAATAGCTTAATAAAATGAAATAAATAAATAACAGAAACAAAAACAAATTGATCTGTTTCGGCCCTTGCTTTCTCGAGAAGAGAAACCGACATACCTTGAAACTTGTGGCGACCGATGCCTTATATTCTTTTCTAAAAAGTAAGAGTTTAGCATATTCAGCTTTAGTCCAGTTCATGACCATATGTAAAATGACACATACAGCGACTGAATAAAGTCTTCCTTCACTCATCTTATTAAAGTCAAAAGAAATTCTGCAAGACAAAACAGGTTGCTCGATTTTCTTAGCAAATGAGAAGATTCTATAACAGTAATAACAGTAGCTACAAAAAAATTTCACTCATATCGAGACTTTCTAGACTATTCGAGATCCGAGACTTTCGAGACTACTGTATCGAGGTTTCTCAAGATTTCTCGTCTTCGTGCATGCCTAGTATAAACAGTAGTAAAATAAACAATAATTTTTTTTGAATTTATTATGTATAAAAGTATTTCTCTTAGAAATACTTTTACCCCTTTCCCTCTAATCTTTAGATTCTCGCGACATCTCTGACGATAGCTATATTTTTCACGACCTCAAACAGTAGGAAAGTCGACTAGACTGATCAAATAGAATGTAAAATTCAAGATTCATATCAGAATATACAGTTTAAGGTGTATAATTTTTCTAATTTAGCCAAGAACAAGTATTTGAATTTTATGATATACTTCGAAATGGTGATGCAGCCGAATCCGTTGAACAATTTCGAAATATCCTTGAAATATTTGTTCGTGACATATCAAAATATCAGCAAGAAACTAAACGTCTTGAAGAAGCTTATAAACGGTAAGAATATCATTCTTTTTCATTCTACAATCTTAGATTTCGCTTACAATTTAGTGAAAAAGAGAACCATGATAAATACTTGAAACATATTGAAGAAGATTATGAACGTGAAATGCGTTTGTTAGAAGAAAATACAAGGCAAGAGGTGAAAACCTGATCCATTTCTTTCTATTAGAACAGTCCTAATATGCTTTTCTATGAATCATTAGGAAAAAGAAAAGTTTGATCAAGAACGTGAGTATTTGAGACAAAAATCAGCTAAAGAAATTTCGGATCTTCAATCGATGATACAACGAATGCAAACGGTATGTAGAAATAGTTTTAATAATTTCAATTATATATTAAGAAAAAAAATTTAGATAGAAGAACGATATACAGAAATGAAAACTGGTGAAGATTCGGCAATGTTATCATTAAGAAATGAAATATTAAAATTAACACAGGAGAATCAAACACTGAACAGTTCATTAAATGAATCTATAACATCAATTGCTATACTTAAAAGTGATTTATCAGCAATGAAAGGACATTTAAATGATAGACAAAATCTACTTTTACAGTAATTAGATCTAAATCATCAACAACAATGTTTAGTAAATCATTACTCGTCGTGCTATAAATTTTAGTGAAAAACAATCATCTTCAAATAATTATCGAGAAAAAGAGTCAATGAAAACACAAGTACAATTACTAGTGTGAGTTAGCCGAATAAGTTAGTGTGAGATATTTGAATTGATCATGCATAATTATCAATTCAATCAATATATATCAACTTTTAGTTAATCTTTTCCATTTTTCTAGTGAAGTGAATAAAAAACTCCGTGATGACAATGACAGTTTAAGAGCATCAATCGAAAGTGTCAAATGGAGTTCATCACGTGCACCATCAGAAGTTCGTATCTACAGTGTATTCTCTTGCAGAAATAATATTTACGATTGTTTTCTGTAGAATTTATCACCTTCTGTACGAAATCTTATATCTCGTAGTGGATCCTGTATAGATAAATATTGGAACAATAAATCAACAATTAACGGCTTGTAAGCTTGAATTGATCGATGATTGTTGATCAGTCTTACTATCGTTATCGCTTTAGACCTGCTCAACAACCGTTGATGCTTCATCCATCACATTTGGCTATGAATACAAATATAAAATCGTTTGATGATGCTGCTGATTCGGATGATTTAGGTAGAATACAACCGCTCAATACTCCTATTAGTACTGCCAATGGTATAAAAACTAGCATCACTATTGCATTGTTGGGAAAAGGGAGATTACTAATTATTCGAACATTTTTTACATTTCTTGATAATTCTTTAAATCTCGTTGGTTGTTGTGCTACGCTATCAAACTTTTATTTCAATCGGAAAAAATGTATATCACTTTTCAATTATAGATAGTGGCTTTACAACGTTTCGAGATACAGAAGTTGATTCCGACCGAGAACAGCAATCACAATCAAGTGAACCATTAAAAGAAGCACCAAATACATTGACAGATTCTAAAAACTCTCTTGCTCCCACAAAAAAAGATAATGGAACTGATTCCGATGACGTTTTTGATGATGTAAGTCATTTAACCCATGTTTCTTTCTGAATATTTCAGATTTTTGTCTTTATAGGACCGTGCTTCTAGTCCAGGGAAATGGAAACACCGTTGGACAAAATTGGGACTAGCAGCGAAAAAAACAATGAAAACGCAAACGTTTCCATTTTCATTACCTCAGTTCACATCAACAACACAGACAACACCTGATCAACCAGAGCTTTTATTAGAGCGAATGTATAGAATTGTGTTTTGTGGTGATACTGCCGTTGGTAAAAGTACATTACTCATGCGAATATGTAAAGGAAAATTTATTTCAAATATGAATTCAACATTGGGTGTTGATGTTCAAATAAAACAACTTGAAATTGATGGAACACGTGCAGCTCTTCAATTGTGGGATACAGGCAAGTAAATATGACACTATTTTCAAGCTTAATTTATGTCTTCTTGTTGTTCTTCTTTTAGCTGGTCAAGAAAGGTAGGAAACGTTTTTGATTGACTTCTTTAAAATGATTATTATATGTTTCTTTTCTTATAAGATTTCGAAGTGTAGCAAAATCTTATTTTCGTCGATGTGATGGTGTATTCTTAGTATATGATTGTACGTATGAACGATCATTTCTAAATGTTCGAGAATGGATCAATATGATAAGTGTAAGTTATCATAGATTTTAAAGTCGTTTCTTATGAACAAATATAATTTTCTTATTAGGAGGTAACAACAAAAACAGTTTCTGTCATGATTGTTGGGAATAAAATAGATTTAAGAGACGAAGCAAGAAGTGAAGGTCGGACAGTGGTTGAATACGAAGATGGTATGAGACTGATGAAGGTACGAATATTGTTGAATATTTTTTATAATTACTTACATGTACTATATTTCTAGGAATATGGTGTTTTGTTTATTGAAACGTCAGCTAAAGATGGTACAAATTCAGATGAAGCTCTTCTTGAATTAGCAAGGTAAGAAATAACGCATAGCAAAAAGTATCGTCTAATTTTACTGTTTCTTGTTGACAGGGATATGCGTTGTAACGAAGACATCCAAGTTATTTCATCTGGTATAAAACTTGCTCAAGACAATCCAAAATCAACTTGTTGTTCGTGATCGTAACCATCTGAATTAATCAAAGCAATGCGTGCAGGCAATCTTACCTTTACTTTGTTTTTTTCTTATTTTCTTAAGCAATTTTTCTTTTTTAGAGGCAATGATATTTTTTTTGAATGCAAATTTTGACAATATCGGTTAAAATCTTTTTAATCTACGCATTGTTTCATTTCATGTGTTCTGACTATTTTTGAGTTTTTTTAAAAATGGTTAAAAATGAATGTGTATGTTTTTATTCTGACATATCATACTGTTGTTCATAATCTTTGTTTTATCATTCATTGTATATATCCCTTGTTATTATTATTGTTCTGTTCATTTTAATAATAGTTTATTTTCTTGTTTGTGTGCTATTTGTTATCATATGAAGAACACTAGTAAAAAACAGCAAAGGATTAAATATTAATCCCTGCTTACATAAAAATTGAAGTTGATATTGACTCGTTGAGTGGTTTGGTGGATGTGTTCCTTATCGTGTACTCCATAATGACGAACTTATATTCGAACCTCGGTGATTACTAGTTATGTAATACTCTTCCTCTTCCAGATCTAGAGGTCTGATAGTTCTAGTTTTTAAAGTTTCTGAGAACTAGTTAGCCGCCAAAAGAATACAGAAAAATTCAAAAAACTTAATTTTTTTACGGTACTGCTGGTTATACCGGCGGTAAACCGAACAGTGACCGCGGTTACCGTGCGGTAATTTCGGTTTTGCTATCGGTATAGTGACCAGGATACTGAATGGTGACTGGACGGTACTTTTTCGGTTTTGAGGACATTGATCTACAAGCTCGATTCAACAGCAAAGTTCAAAATCGTTACGAAATTCTACTCGCTGACGATCCGGATATTGATATTCAAGCGAAGTATAACAACGTCGAAACGAGCGCAGGGGCGTAGCTAGAATCCCAGAGCAGGGGACTGGTCCTGCCCAAAAGGCTTTTCTACTAGTGGATTACTAAATGAAAATTTAGCTTCTGCATGCTATAAGACGTGAAATCAGGAGGATAGTGATCATCCGGTATACCGGTATTAGGATGAAGTATAATCAATCGGTCGATATTACTAGTATTTTGCGGTATGATACGATTTGGCGAAAAATATCGTGTAAATTCAGTTCATCTATGACATATTTTTATAAACAAGGAAAAAGTGTTTGTATTTAGGCAAAACACGATCAAGACAAGCCGGTACCGGTACGAAGTTTGTATACTGGTGACCGGTATCGGAATCGCATTTTTGATATCGGTTACACCCCTAGTCTCAACCAATATGGCTGATTTCTTTAAAAACAGGAACAAAGCGGACACTACATTCAAGCGTGGAGACCAAAAATTGTTGACATGAACTCAACGAACTGGTTTTACGAGAATGACGAAGTTCAATTCCTGGAAAGCAAATTCGAACAACTGAAGCAAGCAGCCGCCTCAAACCGACTAAGAACGATGTGGGCTTAGTAAACGAGATAAGTGACAAGCGTCGAAACAACAGCAGATCTAAGGTCAAAAGAGCAGACGAACCAAGATCAGCTCTCCCGCCGAACTTATGAAAGAGCAGAAGATCCAGTTTTGAAGACCTGCTCAACGTTAAATCAAACACGTCACAAGACACGCAAACAATCCAACCAGCACTCGAGAACCTACCCAGGTCCAAGAATCAGATAACAAGATCATTCATATACAATCTTGGAGGATCATATGATAAGAAATCACAAGATTTCAAAAGATCTATCAATTCTTGTCAATTTCCTATAAGATCTGACAAGATTTTCTATCACACCTTGTAGCAAGATTTTTATAAGATTTTGCAAGATTTTTCTTTTGATAAGAATGTACAAGATCTTCTATGATCTTATAGGACCTTACAGAAAGATGCTGTGAGAAATTATACAACCTTATAAAAAAATCACAAGATTTTATATGATTTTATAAGATCATACTCTTGATCATTTCCTGTCGAATCCCTCTTTACCTCTGCAATTTTCTTTTTCTATATAATTTCTAACATTCACAGGTCCTAGGCGGACATAGGACCGTCTTGTCTCACGTTTCTTAATCATACACTTCATGCAAGCTTAGCTGACGTGTGAAGTTGAAAAGAGAAAAAAGTTTCAAGTTTTTCAAAGAGAATGATGTTATATATATTATAGACCGTCGCAAAATTAATGTGGTAGAGAGAGTCATCGATCTTATGAGATCTTGTAAGATCTTATTATAAGATTTCACAAGACAACATAAGATCTTGTAAGGTCTTACAAGACGTGGTTCGCCTGGACAGCTGTTAACGTCAGCCCCATCACAATCGAGGAAACACTCGAAGCAGTTAAACAACTAAAAAGCAGAAAATCTCCCGACTGCGACTATGCAATAACACCTAAATTACTCAACTACAGCGGCGAATGGGTAACAGATCGACTATCAATATCTACAATGATATTTTTGAAAGCTAAAAGGCCCCCTAACAGTTCAACACCAACACCAACACAACAAATGATAAGTAACATGGAAAAGAGCATCAGACGGTGATGATCCAGGTCAAAAGCCGAATTGATTTTCGTTGAGTAAGTTATTTTGAAGCAAATAGTCCAATAGTTGTTTATGGATAATCTTCTCAAAAATCTTACTAGCTATAACCAATAACGAGATGGATCTATAATTGCTTACTAATCTGGTGCTGTCTTTATGTACTGGAATGATGATCAAACATTTTCATTGATCCGGAAAAATTCGGATTTTAATCGACAAAGAAACAGTGTGACATAACTGAGAGCAGATTGACTCAAAATACTACCTGAAGAACTTTAAACAGATACCATCTGCTCCCACATTGAGGGATATTTTTTATCTCATTAACTGCTTCGTTTCAAGACGTTTTTCCATCAAACTGTGCTCAATTTACGAAAGGACATACGGTCGTTTTTACTGTTATTTTTAAGATGTAAGGGAAGAATGCAAGGGGGGAAAAGTATACTTCTGTACTTCTCCGTACTTCTTGGTACTTCTTGATACTTCCTGGTACTTTTATGGACTTCTCCGTACTTCTGAAGTGCGAAGTACGCTTTTCCCCCTTTCGTACTTCAGAAGTACGGAGAAGTACATAAAAGTACGAAGAAGTACCGAGAAGTACAGAAGTATGCTTTTTTCCCCCTTGGAAGAATGAAGGTGACCATGTTGGTTATTTTTTCCGTCTGAAATGAATGAAAAAGTTGGTGAATGAACATCATTCCTTACTGCTAATCTGGACTGACTTTATCAAAGACAACTAAGCTTAACGTAAAGGTGTTTGAATTAGTATACCGGTGTATTCATGCCTTCTCATCGTGTGATATTTGTTGTTGTTGTTGTCTCTTCGTCAAATGTTTATTTATACTGTATGATCAATATTCATTTATTTCGTTCTGTAAACTTCTTTTTCTTCTACGAGCCTCCTTTTTATTGCCTTTTTATTATATTTCCTTTTGGTTATATTATTAATTTCATATCTGCAGAGTAAGAGTAACACGGGTGTCTGTTAGTGTTTTCTATTAATTATTGTCACTCATATAATTATGTTTTTTTTAACTAACATTTTCTTTTTTGTAAGCGCTCCAGAGCGTCACAAATAAAATTAAGTAAATCCAAAAAAATCAAATCAAAAACACATACTATGCTTGTAATAAAAAACAACAACAAATCTACATAGTATTACATACAGATAGCACAAATAGGGGAAAAGTAATAATATATAAGTTGATTTATTCAACATTCAAGGGAAGAGAGAAAATACGAGAGATCATTTTTTAACCATTGGAACGTTCTGCATTAAAAAAAAATTTAATGCTCACTGTTGCTGATTGTCGTACTGTATGTGTGGAGATTCTAATACTAAGGATTGGTTAAAGAGTGTATAGGATCACAGTTGGATTTTTACTTGTTTATAACAATAAAATAGATTCACCGTTTGTTCTATGTGTGTATCGTGATTAATATGAATGAAATAAGAAAAGTTTTATGGCGAATGCGTATAATTGTTTGTTCCCAATTGATAATTATGAAATACTGTTGTTTGTGGTGTTGATGGTGAACATTCGTCATATGGTGCTTGATTTTCTTCATTACCAGAACATATCATACTTGAACTAAAACCTTGTGATTCTTCAGGATTTTCGCATAAATTAACATTGGCTAATGTGGAACATAATTTTTGTAAACCTAGAATGATAAATAATATTTATTAATTTCATTAAATTTTACATTACATATAAACTTACTAAAAAAATATTGTAATAAACATGAAAATATTTTTTCTGGTTCTTTAAGTCCAAATTCATCTTTTAAATATCGGCATATTATATCGATGTAATATTGTTGAATTTTAACTAATTTTTCAGTTACATATGAATTTGTTAATGATCGAGTTGTCATCAATTGTTTCTGATTACGTTGTTGATGATGATCATGTGATTCAAAACCATCCGAAAATAATAATATAATCATTAATAATAATAAAAGTGTATGACTCTGTTGATCAGCTGATGTTAACGGTTCATGAGATGAGGAAGATGAGTGAAAATAAATGAATGATGTTAATGTTTTTGATAAAAAGACAAATTGATTATATAAATTTGAACCGTATACATATTCTAAATATCTGGCATCATACGGTTCATCTTCTAGAAAAAAGAAAAAAATAAGAATAGAGACAATATATTATTTTACTGTAATTCATTTAAATTGTCTTCTTACTCGTAGATTTATCTACAAATATATCATCGTCGGCATTATATGTTAGACTACCATGTAACATAAAAACAGGTAGTAAATTGCCTTTCAATACATGCGTCTTCTCTTGAGGTGTTAATACTTGAAATTCTGGAATTAATGAAAAAAAATGTAATAAACGCGATGTTGTCATTTGTGTTAAATCACGTGTTAAATCTTTAATCTAAAATTAGAAAATAATGTAAAATATGTCTAACTGTTTGAGATAAAATAAAAAAGTCCTCTTACTAATAATAATTTATAATCCATATTCTCAGTCATTGCTATATCATCATTTCGATAACGAAATTTTATCGGTTGTGGATATTGTTCAACAACATAATGATAACCACGACTTATTCGTTCAAGAAATGATATTTGGGTATCATACATGGCTGTTTGTTTATAAATTCGTGCTGGTAATTGTTGTGATTGAATTATTTGTTGTTTTTGCTATTAAAAATGAAAAAAAAACAAAATGCATTACATTACGATGAACATTACGAAAATATCTAAATACCTGATGTATTGCTACTTGTTTCATATGTCGATTTTGTTCAATTTTTATTCGTTTTTGTTGTTTTTCTTCTTCTGTCAATATCCATTCCTTTCTCATTCCTGTAAACATTTAAAACTTTAATAAATATTTATTATTATATGAGAAAAAAACGTACCAACTTTAAAACATTTTGTTAAACGACACTTTTTACATCTTTTACGTGTAGTTAATGATATAATACAACTATCACCTCCTCGACACCGAAATTTTTCCTAAAATAAATATCTAATTTTTGTGAGTACATAAAAAACAAGAAATAAAGAGATTATACCATTGGTTTTAATGCGTTTCGTCGAAAAAATGCTCTAAAATATCCAAATATTATATTAATTAGTATATACGAAGATATATCATTCAGTTAATTACTTACTTGCACGATTCACAAGTAATTCTGAAAAAAATTAATGGAAATTAATATTGGTATACAAATTAAATTAATGAAATCGTTTACATACGCATCAAAATTGTATCCATGAGCTCTTGCCCCACATACATAACAGGGACTAACTTCTTTTCGTCGACTAGAACTGCCATTAATTTCTCCACAACTCTCATCAACTGTAGTCAAACTTGTATTTCTACTATCTTCACTATTATCATTTCCTTCGAGAATAATAGGAGATAAATCAGCTGAATTGTGGCTTAAGTTATTCATATTCAAATGTATCGTTAATAGCCAAATGCAAAATATCTAAAAAATAAAATTAAGAGTATACAAGTAAGTGGACAACTGTATCTTCACCTTATAACCACATTTCAAGCTAAAAAATCGTCATTAATTAAGTTATCCGATTTATACATTTTAAAAGATGAAGATCAACTTGAATTTATCACTAACTGGGAACGAGGCATCACTCTTAGAAACAGAACTATAAAAATAAACGTGTTACAAGTCGAGATCTGCACCAATAAAAAATGTCTCGACGGCGGCGTCTATATCAAAAAAATTTATTGACCTTTGGCGTCGTTGGTGCATAAGTCTTTGTTTGACGATAGCGAAGAGGGAGAAATATTAGGTTTTTTATTGGCAGCAAAAGGTTACTTTATTTATTTCTTGAAGTCACATCAATTTGTTTCTGCTGATTTTTTAACTTCTTAAAAAAAAGATAGTTACAGGTTCTTTTCTTATTCTGTCTAAGATTCTCTATCGGCGTGGCGATAAAGAATTTAAATCGACGGCGGTGTGTAAAATCTTCCTTTCGTCGGCGTTCAACATGAAACATCGAAAAATTCAATAGTCTTTGGTACGCGACGTAAAACCAACCATTGGCTTTTCGCCGATGCAGATCTCTAGTAACAGCTATTTGACAACTTGATAGATAGAACTATGAAATTACCGACTAATGAAACATATTTCAATTATTAAACTAACAAAGAAAAGGCTCGAACACATTTCTTGCCGTATGTATTCTCATGGTTTAAACCTTGTCTATTCACTTAAAGCAAGGTCAACGATAAATTGATGGAGTGATTATAACAACATTTATAAAATCAAGTGATATACTAATTTTGTTAATTTGACGAATTCAGGTATACATTCTTACATGACGTTATTTTAATAGAAATTTCCAATCGCACTCTAATCTTAAACTTACCTTTCTTTGTTTAAATCAATGATTAGTGTCAGTCTATTATATCAATAATAAAAAAAGGCAATATTGTATTTCAAAACATACATGATGTTATCTTAAACTATAAGTAACTATAAACATAAAGATTAGAACTAGATTCTTGGGTTTTTTTTATACACTCATTAGTTACGAGACAAAAAAACTTAATGGAAATGGCATTATAACAAAATCACAGTATCTACACGTACAATTCTTTTTTTTCTAATTGTTAACGTTAGTTTATTTGTCTTACGAGAAAGAGAATAAATTATTTTATGTGTGCCAATTCGACATATTCGCACTAGGGAATCAACCATTAATGATGGTGTAATTACAGCTCAAAGTCATACTCTCTCTCTTTTATAAACCACAGAAAAGGAAAAAAAATATAACACCGTTAGTTAAACATGCACTGAAATGAATAATTTTCAAGTACAAAACTTCTTTAAAAGAGACATATTGCGCATTTGTGTTAGTGCTGTTTTAACAGTAAGTATCACGTCCGTAAACGTGATTATTATATCGTCTACCAAGTGCAAAAAATGCATAGAAAAGAAGAAAGATAATACAATATTATAACAGCAGACTAACATGCATCAATAATTTAATATAGACAATTATTCTATATAAAGAAAGGGTCACCATAACCTAGTGAAAAAAACAACTAAACCTGGACGAACATGATTATTGAATTATTAGAAATTTATTATTGCTTATTTAGTCTAAAATTCCTAATTAATCACATTAAACCTCTTAACTATTAATTTTTCTATTACTTTCTCGCACACTCGATTAAAAAATTTTAATAGTATTTTAAAAAGTCTATAATAAAACCGTTTTACCTATTTATCGACCCCTTTCAAATTATTTTCGTCTTTTATTTTCTAGGGAGTTTTTTGTATGGAGGAAGACTTATAATTTCATTCTATCGTGTCTGTACTCTACAAGCAGACAGACATATTCTCTTTTTCTTTGTATCACGTTTACTGCTCTTCTAAAGAAAAAAATCAACTAGTAAAACGGTAAAAACAATGAATATAGATAATGGTACATACATACATATATCATGTGTCTCTCTCACAAAGTCACGATCGCTCTTGAGCAACCTACGTATAAGATCATTTTTACTTTTAGAGATATTTTTTAACTTAAGCGTTTATCAACAAAAATCTACTTTGCATGACACACACACACACAATCGTGAGAATTTATATTATATTATACGATTTATTTTTATTTTTGTTACTCTTTCTATAAAATTGTCAGGAACAAAGTGCCTGAAAATAACGATATTCCGACAGACAGAAAAAGCTGACAACAGTATGATTGAACTTGATATACGTCTTCAAAAACGCAGAATGAACTAAAACTATTAAGTTAAAGGTGTTCTTATAGTAAAAACAATACTGCATTCTAACAGTTTATAAATCCTACAACATACTCTAAAAAATCAAAACAAGAAGATAACAAAGAAAGAAAACTAATTAATAGAGACGAATAAAAGTCGACAGAATGGTGATATTTGTTTTCAACGGTTAAGTGCTCTATAATAAATAGAACAACGTTTTTAAAGGAAACGTTGAAGAAATGGAAACCATTAATGTAAAAGTCGTGATTATACATATGTGAATATATTATTTTTACATATTCAAAAGGCAAATACATTTTGATTAGGATCTAGCACCGATATTATTTCGAGGCATCAATATATTTTGCAAAAACCAATTACACTACAAATGAGAAGACGAGTCTTCCATCAATCTGTAATTTGGTACTTTGAATATCCCATTCAAACTATATTTGTCCTATTTTTGTTTACTCTCTCTTTTACGCTCTCTCTCAAACAACGTTATAGAGAGCGCGAAGAATATTCTAAAAATATATCCCACGTTCAATAAATGATCATTCTGACTTACTAATAATGATAACGGTTAATTGTCTACAACAGTTGATGTTCTTTGTTAAACGTGATATAATAGTGAATAATAAACAACTATTCATATATTGTCTGCTTTTTTTTGCTTTCTTACATCTTTTTTTATTCTGTTCTAACTTACATCTGTCAGGTCACCTTCTCTCAAAAAAAGAAAAACTTATCTGATACAAATATAAAATACTGGTTCTTTTTTTTATATTATCGAGTAGTGAAACTCGATAATATAAAGTTCATAATGCAAACAGGAAAATTTCTAAATGAAGTCAAATAATCACGTCATTTCTCAATGCAATCAAAAGTTATTACAATGCGACACTTTCCATCATCAAGACTATTGATATATAAATTTTTTTGCAAGAATCGTCTACCGCTTATGTGTGCTTAACGTTTTATTATGGACATGTTTATTCAGTACACATGAAAGTATTGCTCCTATTACGAACATTTCTCTCTTTAAAAACTATTGAACCTCTCAAAAGAGATGATGAATATAAGTGAACTATACTCCGTTCACATTTACTCAGTCACTTTATTTGAACGACTCTGTTCTTTTTAATGTCCGAATGCGAACACCCGTACAAATACACGCAGTATCAGAGCATTTACCAAAAACGTATTTCGCGCTTCTTAGAGTTCAAAGTTATAACACGCTATTTAGTCTGAACTATAAACTATGTATGATCGTAGCTGAATTTGAGCAGTATAACATACATCTACCATTTTTTCTTCTAATAAATATTAAATCAAACCGTTTTCACACAAAGGCAGGCTAATTTTAAGACTAGAATCCATTCTCTAATCGTTTTCATCGATCGAGAATTCTCTGTATCAGTTTTTATTTATTATACTTTTTTTTTCATACAGATTTTTCTCCAGCATGGATTTGTTCACATTCTTACATACTAAAATTTCGTTATTTTACTTTTCATAACTTAGCTGTACAATTTCTAGAGTAAATACTTGTATTTCATCTTGTTCATACTTCCAACCACAATATATACTGGAAAATGTGAAGAATGCTGTTGCAACTTAAAAACATTAAACTTGCCTCGTACTAAATGACCGTTTGCATTAGAATATACAAAAGAGGCAAATGCTCGTAATAGGAGCAATATTTTCATGTGTATTGAATAAATATGCCCATAATAAAACGTTGAGCACACATAAGTGTTAGAAAATTCTTGAAAAAAATGTTGTATATCAACAGCCTTGATGATGGAAAATGTCGCATTTTGATAACTTTTGATTATATTGAGAAATGACGTGATTACTTGACTTCATTTGGAAATTTTCCTATTTGCAATGGGAACTTTCATAATATAGAATCATACGTTTCTATTACTTCTACATATTGAAATAACGAAAAAAAGGATGTTAGCACAAAATGTGATAAATAGAAGAAAAAAACTTAGAACATGTGTAACGAGATTCAAGAAGTTTCTATTGTTGATATTTGATAGACTACTACATGTAACTGTCGTTATAGATATATGTACTCAAATTTAAACGTAGTCTACCGCTCTATATTTTATTTTTAGCGCTATGTTAAATGGTTGGAATTTTTTTGTTCAGTGTATTCTCTTTCTTTACTCGCATATAAATAATGTCAGTCGACTTATAGCCTTCTTAGGTTTTGTTTTATTTTATATGAAGAGAATAGGTAAAAAGACGAAGAAGAAAAAAGAAATATAACGTGGTTAACAATAATAAAAAAAGGCAAAATGTACTCTCTTACGTTCATAGAGATATACTTCAAAGTAAAAAGAAAAATGTACGCTTCAAGGATATTTCTAATTGTATATCTTATAAAGAAAAATGACCCAGTAATAAAGGGTAGATTAATAAAGACGGTCAATAATATTTTTTCGACTTGCTTCAATAGGCTCGTAACGGTGATATCCATCTCACTTATAAAGAATAAGTTAATAATTTTAACCTGACATTTGGGAGTCCAACCATTTTCACTAAGAACATTATGATACATTTTTTTAAAAAAAAAGAGTTATGCAAAACAAATTTTAATATATTTTATTGAACATTCTATCATCTAAGCATGAATAAATAACATTTATTATTCGTCAATCCTTTTATATACTATTTGTCATAAAAAGATATTTTATTCTAATGAAAATAAAGGGGAAAAATAATGCAACAGCATTAAATGAGAAAACTACTTTCCGCTATACATCCGTCGTACATCAATAATTATAAGAAACGAACTAGAGGTATTGAAATGCCTGAATTCAGGATTAAAAGAAAACAAAAATGTATTCAATTTCTCTATTAATGTAGCAAAATAAAGTAACAAGGTCAATCTACCTCGATTATTCAGTTTTTTCTTTGAAAAGCAATAAACAGAAACTATTTTTTCATCTCATAACAACGCAAAAAGTTATACGTAGTTTCATTTGTCAACATAAATACATCCATGTTCAATGAAATTCAATGCGATCAAAGAAAGAAAGAAAGATACAATATCTGTATGACTGTCATGCGGCTGTCACACCCAGCACGTAGGGGCGGGAAAGAAAAATCGGCTCCACCTTAAAAAATCCTGGATTTTTTAAGGTGGAGCCGAACTTTTTTCAAGTCCTTCAAGGCAGTACAATGTTCATTTTTTTTCTAAAGACTTTCGAGACAGCAGAAATGACAACTTTAACTAAAAAAAGAAAGTACCGTAAGGGGGAAGCGCTGACTTGAGAGATCTTTTTCGTGACCATGACTGGACTTGAGAAAATTTTCAAGTCAAATAATGTCTGGTAAGAGATGTGCGTTTAAATTAGGCATTTTTTCAATGAAAGAGAGTTTCTGAAACTATAAAAACTGTCTCTCACTCAAAAGGTGCTAGCCGATTTTATGTTCCGACTATTTTTATATATTATATCCCAAAATTTTTTCAAAACAGAGAAGTGGGCATCCTTAAGGAAGCAAGTTAAGAAAGTGTACAGGTAGAATAGTTCATGAAAGGATGCAAAGAGTAACTATCATTGACTCTTTATAGCTTCTCCCTTCGTTTTCACGAAACTCGATTAATTTTCATCGTCAATTTCTTTCTTGGTTACCTCAAGAGTTTGTAATTTTCTTATGAAATTTTAAGTGCTGGGAAATTGAAAATGTGTAGGATAAGATTACTCAGTGCACTTTGGTTTACATTTTTCTATCTAATCTGGCGACAAGTTTTGAGAAAGTATGAACTGCTTCATTCTAGGTGTCCGGCTACAAAGTAACCGATGAGCATATGTTTGCACATGTATCACATACAGTGGCTTGAAATATTCTTCATAAAGTAAAGATACTTTTCTTGTATAAAGTCATTGGAAACGAAAAATTCTAAGAATGAAAAGCTCAAACAGTGTTCCACTATTTCCGTTTAGATTCCTATTAATTATTTTTCATCACTGGTATAAACTAACTCTAAAGGCAGACTTTAATTACTGTAATATCAATCAGTGGTTTTCAAAAACATCGTCTTTTTCTCACTGAGAAACAATGGTTTTAAAATATCAGTAGAAAGGTTTACCGTATGTCTTCTGAGCTACAATTTCAGACCATTAGTGCCTTTAAAAAGGCGAGTAACATGACTTTGGGTGTCGCGTATAACTCAGTAAGGTCACATTTCTAACAGAAAACAAACGTGAAAAGTGTTCTATCAACAGAAAACATTTTTGCCAAAAGCAAAATTCGACTTGCTTTGTGGTCAGTGGCCATTTTCATTGACCCTTGTGTGAAACCGATCTTAGCAGCGCAAAATTCTGAGCAAAGTGAGTTAATGTGTAATTCTGTATAACTAGAAGAGATCTTTCCAGGCAATAATAAATACGTGAAAAAATGACTAAAATTTAGAAAAGGGTTGTCATCTGAAAAAGGTGACTGAAAATAATAGGTTTTAAGCAATTTATTTTCCTTAGAACTTCCAGAACTCCTTAGAATCTAACAAAAGTTTGAAATCGCATTTTTAAGTACATAAAATTTGGTACATTCAACAGTGAACACTTTGAGCTATCCCAAAGTCGCTATTTTGGGCAACATTCGTCATTTCTGACACGCAGAGGGGTGTCCGAATATCACATTTGGTAAGTAAACAAATGGATATAACAAATAAGAATATGTGAACTGTTTTTATATCGCAAATCTTCATCCTGCTTGAATTTTCCAAATCAATGTGAAAAAATTTGTATAAGTTAGGTAAAAAGCAGACGTAATCAGATTAAAAAGCGACTTAATCTGCGGAAATATGTCTAAGCAAATAGTTTTCGTAATTAATTTGACAAAATTTAGTATATGATATAGACATTGATCTCAGATATTACTTTGACAGCTTGTATAAAGTTTTGTCCAAGTAATTCTTGATAAAAGCTATTTTCTATCAAATTACTGGATACATGCAATCGTTGAAAACATAAGGAAAAACCTATATTGTTATACTGAATAGCACTCAAGAAATTGATTCATCATTTTGTGAAACTAACAAACATTGTAGAGACCAAGACAGGGCCGTAGCCAGAGAAGCGTGGGGGATTGAGGACCGGTCAACGAGTTTTTTCCACTGAATCCTGTCAGAAAAGGTTGCTAGCCGATAAGACTTCAGACTATCTCTGAAGGCAAAAAAGTCAATCTCTTCCTTCGCAAAAATCCTGGCTACGGGCCTGAACCAAGATATCTAACTCAACAATAACTAATAGGTCTGTTAAATGAATCATATTAATTTTTACAACATTTTGGATCCCATTTATATAAATTTTATTTATCCTCTTTTCATTCTTCTTTCGCGCTCTCTCTCTCTTTCGATAGTTTTCTTGCTCTTTTGAAGTTGACGTGGTTAGTTAAAAAACAATGAACAATTAACACAACGATAGTCCAGAAGTATTCTGTAACAAAAAACAGTAAAATATTTATGAGTGACAAAGAAATGCACTAGACCAAAAAGAAATCTCCTTGGTCATTGAAGAAAAATATAAAAAAATGTGTACATGTTCATCGAAAGAATTTTCTTTTTGTTGATATAATTCATTATAAATAAAATACATAAACATACAAACAAGAGAAACGACAGCTTGAGATTACAATTAAAAAAAAACTTTTAATCACAGAAAGATGAAAAATAAATACATAGCACCTACATATTAACATCGATGTGTTTCTCCTTAAAACTGAGAAAACATCAACTACAGTTACACTTATAGTGGTAAGGAAAACTAATAACCAAATGATGAACTATCTCGATTAATTACTGATCAAACACAAAAAGATACATGGATATTTATATACATAAATCTTCTTCAATGAATCAAGAAAAATAGATAAAGACGCAATGAATAGCAGACAGACTCATACACGCATTATACCAACCACATGTTTATTTTTGATTTATCTGACCTAAAACACAGGAAAATTCTATTTTACAACTTAAGATGGTGATAATTACAAGAACTGATGATACGTCTTTGACGAATTATGCAATGAAAACATAATGAAACGAACTTCTTGCTTTTTTTAAAATAAGAATTCACTTTATCAAGCATCATATCAAGTGAAAAGTGTTCGCTTAACAAACTTCAATCACAAAATCTTCTTACTGTCACGGGGCGACTTCGTTGGTGGTGGTAGAGGTGGAGGAAGTACTAAAACGATAGACATCATCAAAATTGAGATATTTTCCAGTGTTATGTGCTAAAGTACTTACATTGACCGCTGGTTGAAAATGTATGTGAAGCACAAGCAAGAAGTAATCGATTAATATCAATACTATGTGGATCAATGTGACCCCGAGATGATCCATGGTTTGAAGCAGACTGAATTAATAATTCAAAATGTCGAATAGAAGAACGGTACTTTAGAATTTATTTTATTTTTACCTGATCTTCACCAAAATAGGGATTGTGCTGTTGCTGTGGTAGTGGTAGTACCATTCCTGAATATCCATGACGACTATTCATCGATTGTTGGGATTGAGATGAACTTATTCGAGTTGCAGCAGGCACAGTTGTATTGACTAATGAACGATGTTGTTGTTGTTGTTGTTGTTGTTGTTGCTGCTGCTGTTGTTGTTGTTGTTGTTGTTGTTGTGAATGGCTATGATGATGTCTGCTTGACGAATGTTGTTTTATTCCCTACAAGAAACAAACATTATTAATCAAAAGCTGTCGCATTTATTTTAATATAAGGTATGTCTAAATTGTCGAATAAAACAATAATACGAAGCATAAGTTCGATTGATCACTAATTGATTTCTTAATTTGTTTCTCGTGTGCAAGTATAGACTTTCTTAAACTTTCATTTTATTTATAAAAGAAGAAGGGGACTAATAATAACATGGGAGAACAAGATCAACTAAATACAATAAAAGATGATGGGACTTTCGAATGAAAAAGATTGTAACAAAAGACAATTTAGTTTATTATTGTTTCCAATATGATCATATAGAAATTTATAACGATGGTTTGAATTGAATTTTGTTAAAATGTTTTAAAAATAAGTTTTGCACTTTATTTGCATTATCATTTCTACTGCACTTACTTCTAACTTCTTAGCACTAAAATAGATTCATGACATTCATATTTTCAATACCATTATAAAAGGCGGCTTAATTTCAAATTATTATTATAATTATCACTGTTTTAATTGATTTTTTACGAAGTTTATCAAATAAATTTAGAAGCCCAATTAATCAATCTATGGATGCACACGAGGGACGAACTGAGAATAAAAATTTCTGAATTTCTGACACCAATATCTAAGTAATAGTAGTTGAAAAGCAAGAAACTTATAACAAAAAAAGATTGTTAGTCTAACAATTTGGATAAGTGTTATTAATAAAAATTTAAATTGACAAATTTCGAAAAAAGATATAAAGACATGTCACCAACCTGTTCATTTAGAATTCGTCCATTACTAACACCAATAGATGTGTCAACATGTCGATTGTCAACATGTCGATCATTATGAGTGTTAGTTAATTGTGTTTGTTGTACCCTCATTGTTTCTCTTCCTTTATTGTTTATCGGCGATAACATAACATCAATGTCTAAGGGCGATGATGTCTTTTTAGGTGGTGTGGCCGTAGCGTTCGCTGGTGGTTTCGTTTCGAGAATATGTCGAAGAATTGGTTTGGAAGAATGAAGATTAGGGATTGAAAATGGAGAGGTTGATTGACGATCAGACAATGATAAATCAGGCAATTTCTTATTTGATACTTTTGTATTTTGATCTGTTGGTTTTTTCATTTGAGATTGATTTAAAATGGGTGATTTAGGTGGTGATGAAATATGTAAATGGGCTGGAAGTGGTGATGCATGAGGTGATGCGTTGGTTGAAGCCATTTGTGCCATTTGTTGTCTCAGTTTTGGTTGATCTTCTGTCAGATCTATAATGGATGCTTTTGACATTGGTGATTGAATAACAGGAGAAGATTTAACTGAATTACGTGAGCTATTCGAGTGCGATGATGACGAGTGTCTATGTTGTGGTTGTGAAGAAGGGGCAGACATAGGCAATACTACTGGATTATTAACAGGTGAAACTTGTGTTCGAATCAATGCAGAATTATCTTTTGAACTCAAAGGTCGGGATGGCAACTACAAAAGAAAACATATAAAATAAAATAATCTATACTGTGACTGAGTTTTTGTTGAAATATCAATTACCATTTGTTCTGTCTGACGTTGTTTGTCTGACTGTTTCATTTCTACAGCAGAAATTCTTGTAGCCATTTGAAGCGATTGCCTACCCATGAACAACATGCTATCAGCAGATGATTGTGAATCTATCGGATATTTATCGGCAACAGTTTTTACCGCATTCGTATTATTACTAGTCTTTTTCATGGCTGTTGTTGGTGTTGTAGTTGATAGTGAGGATGAAGGTGGCGTAGATGGTTTTTGAATTGCTTTTGATTTTGATATCGACATTGAGCTCTTCGACTGATCATCTGCAACTGAAAGCAATCCTGCATTTGCCGGACGTGATACGTTACTATTCGTTGTTGTTTTATTTTGAATTAATAATGGTGACTGTTTTGATTCAGGTGCCTACAAAAGAAAACAATATGAAATTTTAAATCAGATCATTTAACAAAAATTTAGTTATTAAAGAAAGTTAAAATGAGAAACAGATGAACGATTATGGCAAAAAGCTATACTAGTGCATATCGGTTAAGGACTGCTGATGCATGAATGTCATACATTGATACTATTGACATGAAATATCATCGATCTTTTATCGTTCCTACAGGCGATAATTATTTTAAGTTAAAACTTCATACCGTTTGATTTGTTTTTATCAGATTTGCCTCATTATTCGATGAATTCCCATTTGCAGCTATTGGTTTTGATGATACATCGCTTTGTTTCATTATTGGTTGGGGATTTGGTGGCGACAGAAGAGTTCTCATCCTAACAGCACCTAAGGATAATATTTCTTTGAATAATTGACTGAAATAAGAAAATCATTATTATCATCTCACGAATGAATACAGAAGAACTGACCCTTGTGTTATCCATCCGATCGGCCAAAGTGTGATTATTTCATTTTTCAAATACAATTTTAATGAATCTTCATCATTCATGGTTGCTGTTTGCATTTTTCGATTAGCCGAATGAATAAATAATTCTCTATAACCAAATAAAAACAAGATTTACTTAAATTTTTAAAGAAAACACCTGTCAATACTTACCGAATTGATTGTGACCAGCGAAACGTTTTTCTTTTTGCTCTTTTCTTTTCAGCATCATTCGTTTCATTAGCCTGATGTTCTCTGTCAGAAAAAGAGACGGACACGATTTAACATGAAAGAGCAGTTATACGATATTATACGATTAATTAATTGAACAGGACTCTGCCCTTCAATGAAATACTCGCATATGAAGTCAATCAAAAGTTAGTCTTACCCTGTTTTGCAAGCATCTTCATATTTTTCAAGAATACTAGGCATCATTCGGTCTATTTCTAAAAAAAATGAAATTACATTATATCTTCAACTGTAAATTATTTAAAATTTTAATTATTTCAAACAATTACCTTCTCTAAGTTTTTTCATGCTATCTTTTATTGATAACGTTAATAGAGACGGATTGGCTAGATCATATTGTAATGAACGCATACGAATCACTAATAAATATTTTGATATATCCATATGTGTTGCTGCATAATCAAATACTGCTAAACGATCATCTTTTAAATGTCTTTTTAACTGTTCAACAACACTAAAAATCAAGGATTTATCGATCATTGCAACGAATATGAAGTTGTGACGATTTACTTTAAAAGTATTTGACATATGGGTGCTTCATACTCCAATAAATGAATTTTGTTTTTTTGATCACCTTTTGACTTCTCATTTACCAACTAAAATAAGTAAATAGAACGCTTGACAATCATAAAGTATATCTATACAAAAATAGGACAACTTACTTTAATTAACTGTTCAATATCGTTTCGTAATTCAGTTGATATAGCATCGGGTAATGAATGATCATTTGGTTTCATTGAACTATTGACATCAACAGTCTTCATTTTTTTTTGAGCTGTTACATCCAGTTTGTCACTGGTGTTATTAGGAGTAGGGATTGTATCGATATTTGATGAATCAGACGAATCGTCCGATATTTGTCTTAACAAGAAAAAACATGATAAATTTAAAGTTGTGATGTGCATCATGAAAGAATGTACCGTTTACGATTTTTTGGCAATACTGTTAATATTGACGCACTTTCATCACCGTTCGTTTTGATTTTTTTCACTTTCTAAAAACAAACACATGGCATAACTATTTGTTAAAAAAAAGACCGTTTTCTTCTAATACCTGTTGTACATCTTGACTCTATCAAAGGCAAAGAAAAGAGAAGAGAAGAAATTAATAATCAATTTAGTCACAGTCATCAAACAGTTACCTTTTCAGATCGTTTTTCGTCATTATTTACAATCACCCGCTCAGCATCACCTTCATCTTCACTACTACTGGTTTCTAAATACACTGCCTCGATCGGACCTTGACTAACAAAAAACCCATTTTGTTTTGTTGTTATATTTGGTGGCAAAGCATCGTCGGCCTAACACAAATAAAAGAAAAGAAAAAATTAAAGTCCCTATTCCAAAAACTGATTGCAAAGAACAAAATGAACTTACTGCGTCTGAATTGTCAATAAATGAATCATCATCTTCGTACCCTTCACCCCAATCTTGATAATCACGATGATTAATTATTGATGAAACAACTTCTTTTGTTGTATTTCGAGAATCGCCTATATCATCATCCTTTGAAAAGAAATGAAACAATCACAATAATTTTAAAAAATAATAAAAAAATTTCCCTATACTACTTACATCACTTCTTCCAGCCAGAAATTCTTTAACATTTTTGTTTCCATTTGCTCGAACGTATGTGCCAAGGATTAATTCTAAAGTATCTTTGTCATTTGCCTAAATAAATAAATTTTTGACGCAGACGAAAAAATCTTATGAACAAATGGCTCACATATTTGTTGGTTATTAAATCAATTAATGAATAGTCTTGACAATTTCCACTAATATCGAAAGGAACATCAAATCGTAATGTCGGTGGTTGTTCAGATGCTTTTTTTGTGTCTAATGGCAAAGTCATGTCAAGTTATGTATTAATAACTAAAACGAAAACAACATGAGCAGTTTTCTACCGAAAGTCGAGTATGAAAGGCAAGAAAAACGATGTCACTTATATTCACTTTCCGATTGGAAACGTCTGCATTTTATTAGACTAATTTACAAAACATAGCAAAAATAACGTTTGCTTGTCAAATGAAATGACTTTCCTGAACAATTCCTTCTTACAAGTGAGTAGTTTAGTAACAAATATTAAATCAGTAGAAAGAAAAAGAAAGGGAATGTCAGCGTTTCTGATAATTGATGCATCACGGGTAAGGAAAATGGATTTTCACTCTTTTTTAGCAAAAAACAATGTAGAAGATGAGTGATAAACTCTGGAAACTCACTTTGTTTATTAAGCTTCTCTTTAAAAATACTTCGTGTGAATAATAATAATATTCTACGTAAGAAAGTATCCCTCCAACCATAACTCTAGCCTCTGTTTTTTCAAAGCGATGTCACTATGCACAATTCTCTGTATTAGTGAAGCGACCTTACACTATATATAAATAGAAAGGAGGTTGTCATCTCAAGAAGAAGGAAAAGGAAATGATGGCTGATAGAAGTTTTCTCTCGAATTTACGCCCAAAATTTACCGTTTATGAACCAGTGGACTAAATTTTACCAGGAAAGTATCTTATCCTCATAAAAAATATAAAAGGATAAATTAATATCTGAGCTAATATTTTTATACTGCAATCTTGTCATTTTTAAAATTGTTGACAATTAGTATTTTCAGAAGCTTTCTTGCTGTCTTCGGTAGTTGTGACAGGAAACCGACGGAAGAAAAAAAGATTCAAAAATAGTGTTTTCTGATTGCTTAAGCTTATTACCAATCAAAACTACATTAATTGGCGTCGCACTGATCATTGTTGTAGTTCAAATCAATTAAGAATTAAAATATGTATTTCACTCACTCGTACTGGAAAAAATTTCTGTTCAAGTTAAATCAACTTTAGACGTGGGTTTCTTTTTTAAAGTGTAAGAAAAATAGTTAAAAAACCTTAAAAATAGTTTTCAGAAACCACCGAAAGAAAGTAATTAAATGAATTTCACTTTTTATTCCTTGATACATTGACAAAATATCTTTGTCCCACCGAGAAATGTATCTATGTTTGTATATATGTATGTACGTTTATCTAGTACCGAAGATGAATGCTTGATATATGCAGGGGTATGCCAATCAGTAGGATACCGCGGAACGACCAACCGGATAATTAAACCAATTTTTTAAGTTTATATGTTTGAGTGTTATTTTTGTTTAGCTCTACATTTAAAATTTTCAAAATAACCAAAAAAACACATGTTAGATATTTTACAAAAGAATCTAAAACTTGTGTATCAGTATTTAACATCGAACAATACAACAGTAAACATAGATGTTATATATAACAAAATCCCTATATTTTCGAAAACTAAATGGTATCAAGTATTTTTAATCTGACAATATTTGGACTACTAATGAATCGTAAATCTAACGACCGACAATGACATTAGACACTACATTACAAATAAATTACCCATGAATTGAATTGTAAAACTCTTTTCACCCCATATGGCCGGAATGACCTTTTGAGAAGGGCAGAATTAAAGCTTCAAAGTATGGAAATCGGATGGCCTATATAAAAAAATGGTTATCGCAAAATTTTGATTAATCCTCGAAGATGTTAATTTTGGAATACTTCCCTAGAGAATGTCCAGTTTCCCTGATCAGATCACTGATCAGTAAACTGTAAGTAAAAAAGTCTTTGCT